CCATTCATCTGCATGTCCTACAGCGGGGCCTGGAATCCAGAAGCAGCAGATGCGACAGGCTGTTACACTGAATATGCCAGAGGACAGACTTCTTGATGTGCCTGAAAAGGTAAGTATCCATAAAAGAGGCCCCAAGACTGAGGCGGAACACTGTGCTATAAACGTACTGAGCACGTGTGCTGCCTTCTAAACAGGGCATGGCTAGAGCTCACCAGGCTACCTGAAGACACCAGCTGGGTAATCTGCCCCTCTCGGAGGTGCTGGGATGATGGACTGGTCTGCGACCTTCTGGAGGTTGGGAACCAAGTCTTCCTCGTTTCCCCCAACCCCTCGCAGCTCCCGGACATCCAGTCCAAGGTCGCAAATCGTGTGGCAAAACTGCTGCCTGCGCCGGGCTCTCAGCGCTTCCTGTTCAGCTGCTGTCGCGGGTACAAACACAGTCTGCTGTCAGAGCACAGCGGGGCTGGCGAATGAGGCTGGGGCGAGGTCAGCTGTTGCTGCTGCGACAGTCTCCACGAGCCGTGGTAGCTGTGACAGCCGGGTGACGAACCTCAGGAAGCAGTGTGCCGGGCAGAGCATGGCGGCTGTGATCACTGTAGATGGCACGCCCTGCTCGGCCCCCTGTGGGGCTCGGGGCCCGGTCCTGCGCCCGGAACTCTGATGTCACGTTCTTCCTATGAACCCAGGAAGAGGATTTCTCCCTTTATTCCTTTGGGAGACAATCAGCCTTTCCATAAAGAGAGGCGGCAGATTGCAGAGTGAAAGACCTTGAGAGCACGAGCCAGGTTTGAGGCTTAAAACAGACATGACCTTGTTATCTTGTAATTGTTGTGGGATCCGAGACCCGAAAGCGCTCAGCCCTGGAAGCTTGGGGGGACCCACTTCCTTCTTCCTCCAGCTCCTCGGGGGCACCCACTTCTCAGCTCATTCCTGCCGGTCACCCTAAGCCTTCCTTCCACCCCGTGTGTCTAAGGCCTCACCTGCAGGACTGGGGTCACCTCACCAAGACGCTTGGGTTAACCACCTCTGTAAAGCAGGTGAGGCACACATGGTAGTCAGGTGCTGGGGGTGGGGTATGCACGGCTTGGTGGGGGGAGGTTATGTCGCAGCCCCTACTGATTTTGGTGACCCCTTGGACTTTTAAGGGGGTTCTCTCCCTCGGTGACTGTTTCCAGACCCACCCATCCTCCTGTTTTTGACAACTCATTTATGAGTTTTTATCTATTTCTCCCTGTAGTTCTATCCATTTTTGCTTCATGGAATTTGAATCCTTATTAGGCGCATAAATATGAGGCCTGCTGTGTGCCGACTGACCCATTCACTACGGGTCACTTTCCCGGCTTATATTCTTTGCTCTGAAATCTGGTTTTTAATTAGTGTAGCTACACCAATTTCCTTTTTGAAATGGGGTCTCGTAGATGCTGAGCAAGTACTGTACACTCGCTATACCCTCAGCCCTCCAACTTTTTATTAGTGTGAATACATCTTTTTATATCCTTTTAATTTAACCTATTTGCTTTTTTATTCAAAGTAGCTCCCTGTATCTGGCATATAGTTTGTCTGTAGGCTACTTGTTTCTTTCAGAGACAGGGCTTATCTTGTTCAGATTGGCCTTGAACTTTTGGCTCAAGTGATCCTCCCGCCTCAGCCCCTGGGACTACAGGTATACACCCCCACCTGGCTTTCGTTGCTTTGCTTCATGTAAGTACTGATATGTACGTGAAGGGTAAACCCTTCTGGAGGTAGATGAGGGTCAGGGATCCGGTTAGGAAGTAATGGCTTTACACGAGGAATCCCGGAGACAAGCGGGTAAGGAGGGCTGTGCTGAGAGTATACATTCCACGGAAACGGAGTGTGGACAGATTTTTGAGTCATATGTAGGTACTGGATAGGCTCCCGTGTTTGGAAGATTACACACATACACTCTTCTGGCAGGAAGACGGAGGCGGGCACTTCAAAGACACTGCAGGATGAAAGGCATTAATGAAGAGAGACCAGTCCAGCAGTCATGCCAGGGTGTGGGAAGGCACTGTTTCCGGTGTCGGCATCTTGCAGGTTGCCTCTTACCCTACCGGCTCTAGTTTACTTCCCACTTTCTCTACCCAGAGAGAGGCAACTCTGGAAGACACTTGTGCTGAGGTCCAGAAGCACCCTGCAGTTTGACAATGTTAGGAAGACTTGCAGGATTCAGCATGGAACTGTACCCATGGCTAGGATTACAGGACAAGGACACGAAGAAAAGACAAACCAACAAGGGAAAAGGCACCTGGGCCAGCGTCTACAGGAAACCAGGTGTGTGATTCCCGGGGTGCTTTCTCACTGTGGCCAGAAAGGACACACTTCATTCAGTGGCACCAAGTTGTGACGACATCAAGCTGTACCTCAGCGAGCCCACTGAGGTGTCAGGCCCAGCGGCTCCCTGAGGGCTTGTCACACAGTACTCTGTGAGTACGCCCAACGTACTCAGACGCCCGATTCCTGCAAGTAAAGCAGGTGTCTGGGCTAAACACACTGCTCTCACGAACAGCACAGCGCAGCGAGCCACTGTTACTGGTGGGAAGTTTTCCCAAGTCCAACTTCCACATGACAACCAAGAGAACCCTGCAAAACTTCACCTTCCACACGAACTGTTTTGCACACTCCGTTTCTGAGGTTTCAGGGCTAACGTGCTCCTTTACAGACCTACGGCACACAGGAATGAGGGCCCTCATCAGTGCCATTTAAGTCACACCCTGCATCCTGTGAAATGCAGATGGATCCCGCAGGGTGACGGTTCAGAGGCAAATTCAACCTGGTAGTAGCCTTGACTACAGTGGGGCAGATGCAAACGCCAGGGTCCTCGCTGTGCGAATGAACGGGTGGGCGTATGCTTGTCCATCCCTAGGAAAGGACCACAGGCCCTGTCCCTGCGGAATGAATGACAGTACAGTCCGTCCTGAGGCTATGTTGCTGCTACTGCTTCTGGTATGCTATAGGGAAATCCACACTCACTACACTGACGGACTGTTACTCTAACATGACAATTAAAAATGACTATAAATTGGAGGCCCTGACAAAGCACATGTACTCTGCAGGATGAGATAGTATTTGATACAGTCCATCTTTTTTCAAACGAGACTGTGCTAAAACTGTACTTACCCTTAGCAGCTCAGGCTGCTGTTCAGACCTTTGCTCTCGCGGTGAGCAGAACTCTCAAGCCTGCCATACCTGGTCTGGCACTGATGCACTTAAGACTGTGTGCTTCTGGGCGCAGGACCGCTTGGGTGCCTGAGGACCTCCAGCTGGGATGACCTGGCTTTACTTTGTACAGCATGGAGCTCCCTGCAGGACCAAGGACAGAGGCATGTCCAGGCACTCGGGCAGCGAACAGTGAGGACCCGTTTTTGTCAGGTTTGTTGGTAACCATTTCTCCATAAGAATCAAAGAACACAGGGCAGCTCTGAGTCCTTATGCTAATATTATGCAAATGACCTGTCATTCAGTGCTGTTACGTCCAGTGAGAACACAGGGCAGCTCTGAGTCCTTATGCTAATATTATGCAAATACACTGTCAGTCAGTGCTGTTACGTCCAGTGAGACAGACAGCAGGGCTGAGCTCACTGAGCATCCAGCCGCAGAAGTGACGGTGGCAACTGTGTATGGCAGACGGGACTCCTGGAAGGGCCTTCCAGGAAGGACTTCCTCACACACGCAGCAGCGCTGGAACCTGTGGACAATGTGCTTGGGCCTTCCGCTCACTCTGCTCCACGTCCACTGACTGACTTTGATCTGTATGCTCAGGAACAGGGTGAGGAAGTCTCCATTTCTATTAAAAGAATCTCCGTAAAGGTTAGACCCAAACGTCTCATTAGAGTGCCGTTATGAATTTAAAATTAAATAACTAAAGTAAATAATAAATAATAAATGTTTTACGGTAGTAAAAAGATGAAGACTTCCATGATCTTTTAGCATAAATCTTTCACATGTGGATAAAGTTTTCATTTAGAAAATTTAGAGACCTACATAGAAATACACATTAAAATACAGAAAACTGTTAAATACAAAAATTCAAGCGGCTGTATCTACACTGACACTAAAGTAACATAAATGAAACCGCAATGAAGAAAAGCACACAGAACACAATGAAACACCTGGCACTCAAACGCTATCTACTCCAGCACGGATGGCGCGTGAAGTTCCCGCGCTCCCAGCAGAGGTGACTCCGGCCAAGTTTTATCCGAATCCACAGTACACTTAGCCCTGTTTCAGCTGTTTGGGTATGAAATCAGGAGATGCTCCAGTAAATCAGAAAATAGCTAAGTGACTTTTTTGTACAGTCAATAATAAGTTGTTCTCAAACTGTCTTTTCATGTACCTACTTCCCTAAAAAAACCTCTGGACAATAACCTGCTTCCCTAACTCCTATTTTCACTAGAAGGCCTAGAATTACTCATTAAATTTTTTTTTTCTATATTTTAAAAATGTCAGCAATATTACTTTCCACAAAATACAAAGTGACAATTGAAGTATTCAGCTAGTTCCGGCACGCAGACTTTGAAGGCTGACCTCACGGTGCAGGAAGTCCGGCAGCCACATGCGAAGAGCTACGGGAGCAGCTGACCCCTTAAGAATCACACGAAGAGCCCTTCTGGCTTTGTTTTCAGAACACCTCTGGTTTGCATCCGAGTGTTGGTCTCCAGAACGAAGGTGGGTCCCTTGTGAAGGGTCTTCTTAAATTGGCTCTCAATTTTAAATGCTCACGTGTTATTCTTAGGGTTAGTGCTATGGGAAGCCATGTAAAAAGACCTTCAGTATTACTAATGAAAGCATCAGGGGTTGAAAGTGAGATTGGTGTTGTTACAATGAATTCTGCTTTATTTACTTATTTATTTATTTATTGTCTTTTTGAGACACGCTATTGCTAAGCAGTTCAGGCTGGCCTTGAACTCACTTTGTAGCCAAGGCTGGTCTCAGACTCGCAACGATCCTTCTGCCTCAGCCTTCCAAGTGCTGGGATTACAGGTGCGCACCACCATGCCTGGCGAATTTTGCTTTATATTAAAATACATTTAAAATAAAATCCTACTTACCATAAAGCAGGTATAAGTAAAGGTATTCACTTGAAACAAAAGCTCTGCTGCTACTGCTGGAGTGTCTGGTTCCCACCACCAGAGTTTAACGTAGACAAGAGAATTTCCTTACTTCTGTGGAATTCTCTTGAGATTTTAGTATCTAACAAAAGTGAATGGTGGCACTAGTTTATGTCTATGTAAAACACAAGTACCACAAGTGACACAAAACACTGAACTACCACATAGATATGTCTGCACATCTTCAAAAAACATGGTGGGTTACAACCATAGAGTGTAAACGCTCCAAAAGACCCAAGCGGGACTTCAGTCACAGACACCGTTGAGTGGCGTATGTGAGAATTACGCTGAGGGCCTGCAGCAGTGCTCACTGTGGGCGGAGCACAGCACGGCGCTACCTCACAGAACAGCCGAGCTCTGTGCCCCTCCGGGGAGGCTCCCAGCAGAACGGGTCCAGTCTCTCTGCTGTTTCTTGGCTGATGAGACATTCTTCCTTCAAGTCCCTGATCGTCTCCCTCAGCGCCTTTTGGAAATACTTTTCTCGGTCTAGAACACTGCGCAGACTTTCCTGGGTGTCCTCCAGCTGGCTGATCACATGATCTAACTTATGCTTGAGCTTCTTTGGACTGTCCATTACACTGTAGCTGTGTTCCTGGAAACAGAAAGGCTGCGTTATTCAACAGATACACTGGCATTGGATAGAAGCTTGTTACCAGGCGTCAGCTGTGTTTCCATTTATGACGCTCAGCGAAGGTCTCTGAGCGGTGACTGGAGGTGTAAAGGGTCCAGAAGAGGATGGGGTGGAAGTAAAGCAGTACCCGGGCCTCTCTGCTCTCCCAAGACCAGGAAGGCATGAGCACACAGAACGTCACAGGTGATCTGGGCTCCCATCTGCTATACGTGCCTGGACCTCTGTGCCAGCTACACAGCTTCACTCCTCGTGGGGCACCAGTGAGCTCAATTTTTATCTGCTGCTTTATTGCGAAGACTGTTTCAGTTCATGAAAGGTACGGGGCAAAGAGTGCTGGGACCCGGCTGCAGTCGGGGCAGCGGGGATCTGCACAGGACTCTGGTCTCGGAGTCTGGCAGCAATAATTCAACTCCTGTTGAGACCTGTTATGGTTATGATTAAGGTTCGCTACATATGTATTCATTTAAAACATGGAAAATGACACTAACGTATCTTATAAAAGGTACCAAATAATATTGCTGAAGAGCCGTTATGTAGAAGGAATAGTAGAAAAGAAAAGAAAAGAAAAGAAAAATGAAAATGGAAGTAGAGAAGGCTGCAGCACCACTTCCGGCAGCCTAACATGTATGTGATTAGTGCCCCCAAAGGGCAGGAAAGCAAAGTTGGGATATAGACAAATGTTTGAAGAAAGTATACCTCCAAATTTTCTGAGACTGAGGAAAAATATAAATGCAGAGATAGTAAACCTCAACAACACATTCAAGCACAAGACAACTGAACCAAGGCATATCATACTTAGATTAATCAAAATTAGGACAAAATATTCTTAAGAACAAAAAAAGGCAACATAAAGTATAACATTTTTCATCTGATAAAACGCATGTGAAAATACAGTGGAATAACATCTTTAAAAGCGCCGAGACCAAAAAAAACCCCTAAATTATCAACCTAGAATTTAGCATTTGGTGAAAATATTAGTGAAAAATAACTGAAAAACTGAAGACTAAACGTGACTTTTTCAGACACAGGACCACTGAGGGGTGTAGCACAGCATCACTGCCCCACAAAACAGGCCCGAGGAGGTCCTTCCGGCGCGAGCCGCTGGGTGGAGATGTGGCTCACACCAAGGCCTAGGCATCAGGAAGGCAACGACACGGCAATACCAAGTTTCGTTCTCATTATTTAAGCCTCTACAGATGATCTTTGTTTAAAAGGAAATGATGACAACACAACGTGGAGTCTGTAGCGTGTAAAAGCGGAGCACAGAACAGCGGCACAGGCGGCAGCAGAGGCCACGGCACTACTGTGAGATGTGCAGGACGGGCCCAGGGTGGGCCACAAACCTAAAGACAGCCGCTAAGACAAGACGAAGAGCTCTAGCTAAGGAGTCAAAGAAGGTGAAGCGGAATGGATCACAGAGAGTACTCAGGCTGCAACGTGGAAGAACAGGAACAAAAGCAAATGGGATAGGAAACAGCGGAGAGAACCGCGGATTTAGCTTAGTATCAAGGGTCGCATCAAGGGTGAATGTCTAACGAACACAGCAAAAGGAAAGTTCTCAGCCTGGACTGAACACAAGCGAGAACAAGACTCAAAAGGATACGCTGCCTACAAAAATAACGAAGTACTTCAAAGATGATACCACTGATAAGAGCGGACAAAGACAGTGACACTGACAAGGCGAACAATGATACAGGCTGTGGTGGCAATACAGTCAGCCCAGGGCAAAAATGATTAGCAAGGGTAATGAAGGTAGGTTGGTATCATTTATCAAACTTGAACTATACCTGGTAACAGTGCTTCAAAATATAATAAAATTACCGATGACTGCAAGGAAAATCAGACAAATCTCCCATTATACTACGTTACTTTGACACTGCTTCCTCAGAAACAGATAAAACAAGTAGAGAGGAATTTAGTAGGGATCAGGAAGCCTCACACAGTATCAGACAGCTCGCCCTAACTGACAAGCACATCGCAGGTAAGGCCACAGGACGCTCCACCGCACGGGCGCAGAGAAAGCTTACCAAGACAGACCCCATTCTGGGCTGTACAATACACCTCAACACATGCACAAGGAGTCAGGCCATGCAGTGGATATCCTCTAGCCACAACACAATTAAGTTAGTAATGACAGAGATCTGGAGAATTTTCCAATATTTGGAAATTATATAACATACTTAAAAATGACAAATGAAAGCCAGGTGTGGCACACAGGTGTAATCCCAGCATAAGGCAGGAGGATCACATGAGTTTGCGGCCAGCCTAGATTACACAAGCAAGTTCAAGGCCAGCCTGCACTACAGAGAGAGACCTTGTCACAAAACAAAACAAAAGAACACAGAACAAATCAAAATATAATTTGAGAGTATTCTGAACTGTGTGACAATGAAAACACAACATATTTCATTTGTGGGAAATAATACTTAGGGAGAAATTAACACCATTAAATTAATACCACTAATGAAGAAGAATACTATTGAATGCCTACACTAGAAATTAACAATAACCTCAGCTTCCACTTTAACTAGGAACAGATGAATACATTTTACTAAAGTAGAAAAAAAAGTGAGTAGAAATCCGTGAAATAGAAAGAGACTCAATAAAAACTAATTGTTGACAAGATCGATAAAACTGTTACATCTCTAGGTAGACTGATCAGCAATGTAAGAACAGAAATGATCAGAATGACTGGCACATCACTACAGATTCTCTAATTACTAAAAGGATTAATAAAAAATGGTATGAACAACCTTGAGCTAATAAATTTGACAACTGTGATGAAACAGACAAACTCTTTGGACATAAACTATTAAAAAAACCCCAAACCCCAGCTTTCCCAAAATGTAAACCACAAGTCTAGATAGCTTCACAGAAAGAAGTCTATGAAATATTTACAGAAGAAATAGTAACATCCTACACAAACTTTTTCAGAATATCAAAAATGTTGGCACTATTTTACAACTCATTTTTTGAGATCAGTTATTATTCTGATGCTGAAACTAGACAAATAAACAAAAGTAAAAACAAAACAAAAAAACTAGGTCACGTATCTTTCTTAAACATATAAAGACTAGACAAAAAAATTAACAAATAGAATCTAACAATACAGAAAAGAGATAATGCATCAGGAAAACAAGATTTATCCTAGGAATAAAAGGTTGGCTTAACCTCTGAAAATCAATTGGTTTTTTTTCCAGTACCGGGAATCAAACTCATGACCTTGTGCTTGCCAGGCAGGTGCTGTGCTAAGCTAAATCCCCAGCCCTTGAAAATCAATTTATATAACTCATTGTATTAACAGACTAAAAAAGAAACATCAGATGAGCACTCAATACAAACAGCATTATAGGCTGGGGATGTAGGATGTAGCTCAGTGGCATAAGCACTAGCCTGGCAAGCCTGAGGTCATGAGTTCGATTCCCGGAACCAAAAAAAAAAAAAAAAGATACAGCATTTGGCGAAACCCACATCCACTTCTGATAAAGACTCAGGTGACTGAGAACACAAGGTACCGCCTCCATCACAGAAAGGGGATAAAGGCATTCCTCAAAGTCCACAGCCAGGATCACTGCTGCCAGTGAAAGACGGCATGCTGGTACCAAGCGGGTGACCAGCTCCCAGTCCTCTACTGAGCAGTCCTGAAGGTTTAAGGCAGGGCCACAAAGAGAAGAAATGACCGGCATCCGTACTAGAAGGGGAACAGAAACTCTCCTCAATCACAGAGAACATGATGATCTAAGTAGGAAATCTGCTGCAACTAAGGTTTGAATTGGGCCAGTTTACCAAATGCAACATCTGTGCACAAAACACGATTACATTTCCATATCTAGCAGCAAAAAAAAAAAAAAGAAGCACCATTTATAGCAGCATGCAAATGTACAAAATACTATGGAATATGTTTGGCCAAGTGAAATACTTGGGTCTTGAAGCCAAAACAATTCTGAGAAGTCAGACCTAAATGGAAATTCTACGTTCATGTGCTGAAAGATCATTAAGATGTCAAACTTCCCAAGTGGACCTACAGGTTAAACACAAACTAGTCAAAATTCCAGCCAGCTTCTGGGCAGAACTTTATAACAATTAACTCTAAATTCACATGAAATGCAAAGAACTTTGAACAGCCGAAACACTTTCGAAAAATGAAGTGGGAGGACTAATACAATTTCAAGAATTGTTATAAAACTATAGTAAGAGATTTATATTCCAGGTCTGGCACTAACATCAATAGGAAATAGATGAATAAATAAACATAAACTTCAATACTGTTTTTCAAGAAAACAATCACTATTTTTATTAGATTCTTCCATACAGGAAACATAAAACAAACTTTGAAAAGGCATTCTTTGAACTAAATTAAGGATTTAATTTAGTAAAGGATTAATTCAATACTGTATTTGCTTACAAATTATAACCACCTTGGGAAGCAGTATTTAGATATTACATGTTAAAAAAATCACCAACACCCAAATTCCTAGCTTTTGCTAAGACTCTGAAAAGTTTGATCTTGATGGATAGGATATATGCATCTTAACAGCATTAACAATAGATCAGTAATTTTACTTACAAAAATGAACTGGGATTGGAATTCTTCAATATATGAGGAAGCACCAACGAGCTGGTGGTCGTGGTTTGTGACCGGGAGGGTTTTGAGGGTGAAGTTTTTCCTACAATGAAGCTTTTCTTTTTTCTCCTGTTGAGAAGAGTTAATAAAAATCATTGAGGTACTTTTTTTGTTTTTGGTACAGAGGACTAAGTCCAGGAACTTTGCACTGAGCTATATCCCCAGCTATTTCATTTTTATCCTAAGAGTCTTGCTAAGTCATTAAATTGCCCAGGCTGGGCTTGCATTTGTGATCCTCCTGCCTGAGCTTGTCAGGGTGCTGAGGTAACAGGCATGTGCCATGACAGCTGGCTTCTATTTTTCTTTATTTTGAGACAGGGTCTCACTATGCAGTTCAAACTGGCCTTGAATTCTCTATGTACTCCAGGATGCCCTCAAAGTTGGAGCAATCCTCTTGCTTCAGCTTCTTGAGTGCTGGGATTATAGGTGTGCACCACCACGCCCAGCTAAATTTTATTTTTTCACTTTGTGCAGTTTAATGACTACTTTATTTTCATGAAAACTGCTTTTAGAAGTCAGTAAATTCCAGAACTCAGATTACTTTAAAAGAACTTTTTGAAAGCACTATTATTCATTTGAAAACACAAATTTTCCTAAAAATTAAGAGTGAAAATCAGGCAAGATATCTTCTCTCAGCTATTGAAAATGTACTACACGATAAAAATAGCTAAAATAGTAGGCCATTTTCTTAGGACTACAGAGAAGTATCTAGACATTTTGTTGCCTATTTTAAGACACACTAAGGACTCGGGTAGGCAGATGCCCTTATGCATAGCTGGTGGTGAGCAGGTTAGTACAAGCTTTGTGGAGTGTGTGAGATCTGTATCAGAAGCAAAGCTTTAAAAACCTACCATTCAACAATCTTATTTCCAGGAGTTTAGTTCAAGCAACTAAGGATATGAAGAAAAATTCTGCTAGAATAACATTCATTTCAGTGCTACTTACAGTGGTCAGAGATACATGACTAGACACAGCAGTGAAGACTGGTGACAGAACCACGGCTCATATGTAGGAGTGACTGCTTTATGGCCATTAGCCCCTCCTGGCCAAAACGGACAGCATCAAGTGCGGGCAGGAACGTGGATACAGGAACTTTTGTGTTGATGGTGGAACTATAAATTTGGAACTCACTTTGGAAAACGATAGCAGTATCTACTCAAACTGAATGCACAGAACCCTGACCTCAGTAACTCCCCCTTGTAATGAAAGCATGTAGGCACTCTAAAACAGTGTGTACACGAGTGTGCCAGAGACATGGACAAAAATGTTCATAGCTACATCATTTGTAATACCTTTAAACAAAAAACAACCCAAATGTTTCTCAACAGCTGCATGGAGAAATGAGTTTATTCATTTAGCAGAACACTCTATCACAAAGGAAGTGCTAAGCCGTTGCATACTACAGGGATGAATCCTACATGTCAAGCTAAAGCAGCTGCAGGGCACTGCAGGCAGGGCTCCATTTAGACAACTGGTAGTGACACAAGTTAAGATGGTAGCTACCTCATGGTGATAGTGACTGGGGAACGTCACGTAAAGGCTCCTGGGACACCTCAGCCTGAGGTGAGTCACATGAGGGTGTGCACTGTGAAATTCAGCGATTTGCACACTTATGATGCATGCACTTTCCTACATATATAAAATTAAAAAATTGACGTTCTTCCTAGGTTTATCTTAAACACATGATCCATAGATCTGTGGCACTAGGCAGGGTACTTGTTAAAAAGTGCAAGCTTATTGAATTCTCAAACTTACTGAATCAAATTCTCTGGGAGAGGGGCTCAGGGTTCTGAATAATCCCTGTATAGACTAATGCTTAAAAGCCACCAACACAGGCTAACACTGCATTTGACATTGTGGAGTGCAGTAGTTCAAAGTGAAGCCTGGAGCTGAAGGGCCTGTCAGCCTCTGCTGTTATCAGAAGTGTGGTCCCAGGAAGGCGGCCCAGCTCTCTGGACCTCTGACTCCTCAGGCGAGGCAATGAGTAAGAGCACTTCCTGCCTATGGGGGTTTCAACAAGCTAGTGTGTGTACAGAGTGACTGGAAAAGGACGCAGTGTAACTGCATGAGATGTAACTACATTTGTACAGCCCATGTACAAATGATGCAAAGTACATAGCCGAGCAGTCACAGTATTACCTCTGCATGATCTCTGCAGTATTTTTATTCTTGCTTCTATCATCTAATTTCCTATTGTAATAAAACTTGTTTAAGGAAATAGATTTTGGAAGTCAGCAACTTCAGGTTTGATTTATTATGCCCACATCTCTTAAGGTCCCTTTTACATCATAGCTACGTAACACTGCTAGAGGCAGGAAAAAAGAAAGGGAGAAAACATCCTTGAGGCTAACTGCACAAGAGGCGCATGTGTGCTGAAGGGAAGGAAGCAAGCCGTCTCTGCCAAGGCACCTCGATGTGACCCCCGCAGTGATGCAGCCCACTGGGAGGAGTGGTGGGGCTCTGGACCACCTGTGTCTCTAGCAGGTAGGAGAGGGCTCCTGGGGGATGTTTCCCACATGGAACTGTCCCTGTCCACAGTTTTGGGAAGCAAACATGTCCCCAAATATTTGACCTCAAGGGATCGTGACAGAGAGGCTGCTAACCCATGGTACCACCCCTAAGACACAGGACTCAACTACAGTTTATTCAACCCTTTTCTTTTTCTGCCTTCTCTTTCCTTCTGTTCTTATCTTTCCATGTTGGTTTTCTTTCTCTTGGTCCCATGCAGACTTGACCTTACACTTCTTTGTACCTGGAGATTCCTGGAAGCATACTGTGGTTCTGTCTGTGATTTCACTGGACTTCTTTCAGACTGCCTATGTGGAACCTTCTTATGTTGTGGATTTTCTTCTTCAGAGGTTAACAGTAGGAAAATTTATTGGGGAATAGCAATCGGGAACGGGAATGGGGAATATGAATAGCTCCTGAGACAGGAGGAGTCCTGAATGGGTTGCCCTCAACCTTCTTATGTTAACCTCCATTTTTTTAGACATAAATCTTGAGTTACATCAATTCCTAAGTCAAGGGTACTTTACTAGACCTTAGTCATGAACCCATATGTGAGTGCCTACTGGTAATATAATCCTGCTACATATTGTGAAAATGGAAGCTGCAACCAGTAAGTTTAAGAACTTAAAGAACAGAGACATAGGCAAGAGGGCTGAAGATCCTCAGTCATGCCTCTGAAAGGGAGCATTAATGGTAAGCCGTATCTCACACACCAACCTGTAAGTGGTATGGGGAATCAAATATAGACGGGATGACTCCTGGTTTTAGTTTAAGATTTGGAGCACTTCTGTCAAAATCTGTCTTCTTAAAGTGCCTCGAACATAACACATCTCCTTTTTTAGGCTCCCAAATGCCTGCAGCGTTCACATCAAGTCTTTTCATTGCTAAGACCCATTTTCTTTTGACATTTTCATCTGTGGGGAATCTAGAGAAAATACAAGACAAACTTAAAACCAATCAATACTGCAATGAAAGCTGTCCTTTAAAACTGCGGCTAAACTGCTGGCTTACCTAGTTTGTCACTACTCTTGGGAATTGTAATATTCAGGACACTATGATGCATGCCCAAGTAACCCAGATTTAGTACTCTCACTCTTGGGCCAATTCTGCAGCCATATGGCCCTCATTTTTCTCATATGAGAAAAGTTTCAATGATATTTAGCACGCTACAGTAAGATCCAAAGGCTTATGAAGCGATATCTAGTACGGGTCCCCAATGAATAGGACCCTTTGCACTTTTTTTTTTTGCACTTGCTTTTGTCAGCACCAGAGAACTACTTAGCCCAGCATTTAACGCCCAGCAAGTCTATGAATGCTTAGTGGATGAATGAAATGAACAGTAGTAGAATTTGGAGTCTGGATATCAGAAACATCCTGATACATCTGGAGGCTGATTGTCTTTCTCAATTTTCCATGGTACTTCATATCTTTTTTTGGGGAATAAGGTGGATACACATACCTACTCCTGAATTCCATACAGCTAGAGATCTAGCGAGCAGATCGTTCCCTAGCACATACCACAGTGCCCAGTACAAAAGTGGCAAAATCAACCTCTAGCAGAGGCAGAACGATTAAATCCTATTACTTCTCTTCTACTGCTGCCAAGGAAGTGGCTAAAATAAAGATCATCCTATGTGCAATACTGCTGAAGACTTGGTCTGAACTGTAATTTACACTTTACAAACTATGCTTGATAATCATCTGTTTCTTAAGAGAAAGAACAGTATTTTGGAGCAAAGACCCTTCACATTTTGTAAACAACACAGACAGCTTTCTTTTTCTTTTTTTGTCGTTTTTGAGACAAGGTCTCACTATGCACTTCAGGCTGGTCTCGAACTCACAGCGATCCTCCTGCCTCAGCCACACGAGTGCTGGGATTACAGGCATGCGCCACCACACCCGGCTCGCAGACCTTTCTTTTATGAAGAAAATACAATGTTAAAGCACTAAGTAATGAGATTTTTTTTTTTCTTTTCTTTTTTTTTAGGAGTCTGACACCTATAACAGTTATCTTAAAACCTACATTAAATTACAAAAGGGTAAAATTTAGGTGTCACTGCGAACTTAACAAGAGCTTATTTGGAAGTGGAACTTCAAGGATACACAATGGTTACTTGGAAACAGGCCTATCCAGAATAGTGGCCCTGGCACTTGGGGCCCAAGTTCGAGTAGCTAGCTGTGTGCTCTGCGCAAAGGAAGCGGTGGCGGGCGGCGGCAGGTCTTACGCGTGGAAGGTCAGCCCTCTCAGCTTGGAGTTGGGGAGACAGCGAGAGGCGCAGCCGATGGCCGAGCAGCATTTCACCATGACTTCAGCAGCTCATCACGGCGCTGAAAGACAAGGACAGAGGGCAGCGCGGTGACTGGCAGGCTCGAGGGGGCGGATCCACCTTGGCCAGCGGCTAGGAAGCGGGCACCGGCGGACCCGCGCCTCCCCCCGGCCGGATCCCTTCGGCACCCCGAGTCCTCCGCTCGCTGTCCTCGGGTCCGGGCGCCCCGCCTGTCGCCCCGCGGCCCCCGC